CCTGAGAGGCTGAGCAGAACCACTGGAATCCAAGTGCTAAGTGGAGCCTGTGCAAATGTCAGCCTGTTTTTCACTGCACAGGACTCCTCATTTTATATTATACCTCCAACAGTAAAACAGAGTGACAACCTACTTTCTTTTATATAACAAATAACTAATTTATGTTCATGCAATTTGGCTAGCTGGTGTGTCTCATATGAAGCATTCCAACCTGTATTTTCAAACCCAAATAAATGACTGTTCAAAGCCACAGTGACACCCTGCTCAGAGGCAGGTGTCTGGTGCAAGGTGTAACTGGCTGCTCAGTTTCTCTGATGCCTTGGAGGGAGCAGTCACTTCTCAGCCCATTGGCACGGCAGCGATGGCAGTGACAGTCCAAGGAAAGGCTTGGAGGAAGGACTCTCTTGCTTGTGAAACATAAGGTGCCCAAATGGGGCTATTAAATCACCAGGTTGTAGCACCAACAGTAAAATATGTACGTGTGTTGAGATTTTGGTGCATGGGCCAGAAAATTTTTCTGTTGGTTGAAAGATGTTGTCTGTGGTTTGCAGGGAACCACAAAGTGGAGGCAAAAAGAAAGCAGGCAGGAGGTTCCTTGCTGATTTGAAAACCGTATTGACCATCCTAATACCTTTTATCCAGTCATCAGGGCCCTGGCACATAGGGGACAAGCACTCTAGGGGACCACCTTCTCCTCAGGACTGGGGCAACACAATGCAGCACCAACCCACAGAAGATACTGGGAGGCCTCAAAAGTGTTGATGTTGATCTTCAACTTTTGGTGTGGACTCAGGTCCTGATATGAGCCATGTCTATAGAGGGATGAAATTGCTCAGCTGATAGGGATTTCAGGGGAAAGCGCGGCTCACATGGCTGTAAGAGCAGTCTGGTCTCAAAGACAGTAAAACCCAACTGTTGTCATAAGACAAGCAAAACAAAGCTGGCGTTAAGCAACTGGGTGAATCAGAACACAGAAAAAGAATTTAGGAAGCCATGGTCGTAATCCTATTAGTCTCTGGGCAGGATTAGAATAAATGGTTCCTAATTTGCTTATGTAATGTATCAGTGAAATCCCCTGTTACCACAGCCACTCTGATGGTCTTCAAGTCACTCCAGTGTTTCATCTGAACAGTTTATTTTCTATTTCAGGTTTTCCCTCACTGGGCTGAAGGTAGTCTCTAGATGAGAATGAGAACTGGTGAGTAGGAATGGGAAGGATGGGTTTCCTCATAGTTCCAGTGCCTTCTCAGAAGTCTTTGCATGAGGACAAGTCACTTCCTCACTGACCAGTATCCTCTTTTTGTTATACACACGTTCTATATTCTCCACCCTAGAGCCTGGACGTTTCCTCAGCTCTGGAAAGTTGCATCATACCCTGAAATTATACATCCCCCTTCCTGAGTTGGGTGTCCATAAGGCATCCTTTGAGACCTCAGAAGTGCTGGCAGCTGCCCATAGTTACATGGGGTGGCAGCGCCTCCTTATCCTGGCACTGCACCCAGGATGCAATGAGCCAACCCAGTTCAGGAGTGCATCACACACACAGAGCAGGTGGAGAGATGGCTATGAGGTATGGGAGGTGCTGATTAGATTTAGTTTATTCTCTCAGGATGACTCTCCAACAGGCTGGGGATCAACTGGTGCATTGCTGGAAATTTGGGCAGTGTCCACTGGTGGGGTGGGAGGTGGTGGTGGGCAGATGCCTCCTTGCTACCCACCAGTTTGCACCTGGCTCCAAGTATCATTTTCTGCCTCAAGTTTCTAAAACCAGCCATGTGTCCCTGTCAAACACTAAACTGAGTTTTACTCCTCTCCTGCTCCCATGAGCCCCAGACCTTTTAGGATTTGATGGTTTTGCAGGGAGCAGGACAGTAAGTGGAGGTAAATTTGATGGTACCAGTAGAAGTAAAAACTCCAGCCCAGAAGAAATTACTCAAATTATCCCTGCATTTATGGAAATGTAGTTACTTTCCTGTGAGGTCTTAAAAGAGCAGGAGACACTGTGTAAGGTCTCAGGATCTGTACTGTATTTGAAGAAACCTGCCTTGCTTACATTTGGGAATAGTTTTCATGGGTATCAGCTGAAGTTTAAATTATTTCTCTACAGAAAAGACTGCTGACCTCCATGTGTCTGGATGGGAACTTTCAATCTCAAATACAGCATTTGGCCTTATTTTAAAAAGTAGATTGCTTGAAGAAAACATACTTAAATTCTTACCAACTGATATACAGAAAAGCGACAAATCCCAGTAGGATCAATCCCTTCTTCTTTGCTGGGTAACGATGTGGCAAGGCAAGGATTTCCAGGAGAGCAAATGGCAATACAGCTGTGTGCTAAGGAAAAAAGAGAGTTTGTCACTGACAGATCACAGTGCCTTGCCTTCAGTCATTGCTGATCACAAAGTTCAGGCACCTGCTCAGAAGCAAAGAATTATTTAACAATACTGAGTATAATTGTATATAGTTGTGCATACTTCATTTTTTACAATTAAGAACTACCCCTAGAGTAATAAGCACAATAATATTCTAGTTAATATGATATAAAAATGAGTCTTGCCTGTAGCATGGTCTATGTTTATAACAGGTGAGCTCTTCTTTTGCATTTTTTAATGCAATAATTTTTTTTTATAATTCCCATTAGAGCACAAAAGATACTGAACTCTATCATTATGTGTGGCTGAGGATGTCAGAAGAGTGCTCCTTGAACTCACTAAGCAATTGCTGAATTGCCTTCATGTTCTCTTCTAGTCATTATTGTATTTTATGTAGTGTCATTTATTACTTACTCCAGTGCAGTCTCAGGGTGCTGTGCTTTGTAAGTGGAAAACAGGGTTGTAAACATACAGGGGACTTCAGTTAGCTGTGATTGAAGGTGATGAAGGAACTTCAAACAAGCTTATCCCCGAGTCAGAAAGGAGTTAAATTGATGGAGAAATGTGTTTTTCTTCTTTTTATTTTTCTTTTTTTTTTTCTTTCTTGTTTAAGAGTTGGAACTGCATCTTCTGTTTCAAGGACTTTAATGACAACTGTCTGAGCATGGAGGATTTTCAGCTCTGGGCAGACAGTTTGGTGGCACTGACTGTTTTGTGGTGAGGAGCTGCCTCCAAGAGGGATGCTCCTCACCATGGGGATGTTGAGAGCACTGTGGAAAGCCTTCTGGGCTCAGATGTTAAATGGTCAATGCAGGGATTTGTGGGATGTTACTGCCTCAAATTTTTGACTGATTTGAAATAATTTCAAAAAATAATTTGCCTGGGGGAAATTTCCCCACTGAAAATTTTGTATTCCCTGTACAGGCAAACAATAACTTTGAATTGCAATACCTAGGACAGATGGCTTAAACAATGTTGGGGAGCAACAAAGCAAAACTAGTCAATAAAATGCACAGGAGAAAAATTATAGTAACAACTATATCTGATTAGTTGCTTAAATTCCTGATAATTAAGTAAATAGTTTTTTCATAGGTAGATGGAAGAGCTATGGGAGGAGGGCAACAAAGATAAATAGAGTTTTAAATAGAAAAAATGTCAAACTAAGGATTTTATTTTTTGTCTTTCTCCCTAAAGGCATAAACTGCTGGGTGTATGGTATGAAGATTCCTCTTGTCCCAAATAAATGGTTCTAACATTTTTAATGTATGTGTTTTTCAGAAGCTGTGGTCAGTATATGATATGGTAATATGGTGTCAAAGTTTTATTGCCTTATATTTGTGTTATAGGTTGTGAAAAATACACAATAATTTCTTTACATGCACAGTGAGCTGTAAACAGCATGCATGTATTTAGCTATTTGTTTGAGAGATGGACATCCACTTTTGTCTGCTGCTTCCAAGTGACCACTGCCTGGGAGCTGAGTGTCCTCCCTCAGCCCTCCTGCCACAACCATGAGCTGCTATTCATACCTGGCTATCCTTCTATCAAAATAGATAGAATGTGTGTACTGATCTACCTGAGTTATACTTTTTCAGAGAAAAGAGAAAATATTTCTTTGATGTTCCAGTTCCTTTCAAGTCATTGGCACTGTTTTTTTCTTCTGTTCTGTTTCACAAAGATATCCTTTGGCTCTACAACCTGCTTGGTTGATTGCAGAAGGCTCATATCAGTACAAGTGATTCCTGAATTCATTTAACCAGAAAAATATGTTCAGTGCACACAGTTTTTAGATATAATCTCCGTAATTTATTTTAGTCAGAAATCTATGTGTTAAGCTGCTTTCAAAAAGTTTTAAAAGGGTTTATTTTCCATAGCTGAACAATAGTTTGTCCTTGAACAAAACCCAAAATGCCCATGGCAAGGCAGCAGTGATGGAAAACCTGCACCTTGTCCTCATTTTTAGGCTTTAGCCTAAGCCTTTGGCTGGCACACTGATTTAGAGCACCTCATTTTGACAGGTATTTTGGAGCATGCCCAGGAAAGAGCAGCCTGATGAGCCAGAAAGTATAAACAGTGAAGCAGGCATAGTAACTGTGAATGCACTGAATGTGGTGTTGCATCTAAAGAGGAAAGCAAAATAAGAAGTTTGGAAGGCTTTAGAAACTGATGCAGTGATGACTGTGACGGGCAAGTGTTCCATGTCCATTGTGTCCATGACCATGGGTAAGTGGCTCAGTGTTCCACAAGAGAGATGTAGCTTCATCTACTCCAGCAGCACACAGATAATGGGTGGACAACAGGATACAGTCACAGGGAGAGGCTGAGAGTGGTGATGGACAGCTTACTGCTCAAACATGTCGTGCATTGGCTCGGCTGCTGAGCAGCAAGCTGGTAGTGCCTCCAAAAGATTGCTGGGAGATCTGCTTTTTAGTCTGTGCTGCTTTAGAAAAGGCTGATATGCTTTACTAGTCATTTTTGTCAGGCTTCTCCACTTATGTAGGAGTTAGAGAAAACACTCGGGGGCCTATAAATCAACAGAAGCTTGAAAGTTACTGGCAAAACTGGAAAATTTGGCTGCTTTTGGGAATAGCCAGGAATTTAGTGGAAGGGGTAGGTTGAAATTTCTGCTATTCCTGATTAAGTGAGCTTTCCACTGCTTGTAAGAGTGTTTCCATGTCTAAGGACAGCAAAAACATTCAGGAGTGGAACTGTCTGCCTCTTGTTTTGCAAAGAGTTTCTTAAAGTTCTTGGAGCTATCCTGATTTGGAAAAACAAATGCAAAAAAACTCAAAAAAAAAAAAAAAAGGAAATAAATTTGTTGTTACATAGGAAAACTGCAAGATTCTCTCTTCCCAAGTCCAGTGATGTCACTGGCCCATGACTGTGTGCTGTGTTTCTGAACAGATCATTGCATCTTTTAAATATATTTTGCCAAGTATATTAATTAGATGTGGGGTTTTTTTTGTAGAGTCATTTAAATTTGCTGTGAAAATGCCTTCTTGAGACAGATTTCTACAACAGTTCTCAGCAGCCTCAAGAACCCCCAGGATGATTTTTAAAAATTTTATTATTTTTCCTTTGTCGATATAAAGGGGTTTTTTTTTCATTTTTCTCTCTGTCCCCCAATTCCTTCTCATGTATACACACACCTCAGACTCATAAACATGTGAGAAAATCTTCCCTCGCACTTCTGCTATCCCAGAGTCTATTTCTGCCAAGCCGAATTTGTGCATTAATGGTAAAATCACGGAGGAATTTCTCTCAAATACCCGAGCAAGTTTCTGACAGCAGATGCGTATTTGTAGAGCAGACACCAGGGGAATGTGTGGATGGCTACAGGGCGCAGAGCCTGCCCTTCGCCTATGACACACAATTGGCTTTCCACATGAATTCCCTCTCACAGCCCAGAGACGTTGACTTTGGCAACATCATTAGTGATAGAGCATATATCATGGTTAATCAGATCTGCTGAAAGGCTATAAAGGCTTCTCATATCCTTTTCAAAAAAAAGAAAAGGATGAAAAAAAGATGTATTTTCCCATCCGCATTATTTTTAACCGTAGGTCTCTTGTGCATAGTCATTAAATATATCTTCAATCCTACTTAGCAGCATTTCATATTCTTAAACTGACGTATGTCTGAGGAGCACAGTATTTGTATGGGGCCAAATTAAAATATTCAGTTTTGCTTCTTCCTTTAAAGAAAACTTAATAATTAAGCTCAGATTGACACACATCAAAATATTGGCAAAACTTGCTGGAAACACTGACTCATTTTTTTATTTCAATTAACAGTTTCTCAGTTTCACATATAAACAGTGAAACTGTCAAAAATAATTATCACAGAGGGAGGGGAAAAAACCCCACCTATTTCACTCCAAGATAATGAAAACAGGCTGAAACAATAGCTGTGTGTACTGATCAGGCTATCAATGAACCAAACTGAATCAGAGAGCTTTTCTCTACTCTTGGCAAGGATCCTGTTTGCACTTATTTTTTATGTTCTTTGAAATATTAATGCATTTATTTGTCTAACAACCTCTGTTTGTTGAGGAAAGATTTCAGCTTACAAATTTTGCAAGAGCAGATTTTTTTTATTTCTTCCTAGAGTGAAGACATAAAAGTGATGGGACTTTCAAAATTATCAGAGACATTTAGCTAACTAATCACACTTTTAGCCTAAATTCTGCTTCCAAACATTCAATTTTAAAATCCTTTGTGTCTCTTTTTGGCAGTCATGATTTTCCAGTTGGTTTTAGTTTCTTTGCTTCTTTTGTGTAAAATTCAGGTGAATCTGAACTAGTTAGAAAATTACAAATTAATTTTTGCTGCTCATGCAAACTCTGGCATATGAATACAGGGGAAAGAAAGTTTCTTAAACATATTCTGAACTTTATCTCAAATATTGGCAAGTTAACTTATCTCCTGCAGACAAGAGCATTCCCCTGCTTCTTTACTTTTTGTTTCCTACCCTGTGTTGTATGTTTCCCAGGATACATCCCAGGTTCACAAGTTTAAGCCGAGATAAATAGTCCTCTCTGAATATTATTTCCAGTGTTTGCTAAGACCATATGGAACTTTTACTTCCCGTATTTTGAGTAATTTGTGTATTTATTTAATGCTATATCCTCATTTTGCCGTTGAGAATTCAAGTAAGAGCGAGCTTCCTGGGGCTGAGAAGGCAGGGCTGGGCAGAGTTGGTGCTCGGCTGCGGGCTCCAGCCTAGGCTGAGCTTTGAGCCCATGAATACTGTCCCCAGAGCTGCTGAGATCACTTGTGCTCCTGATGCGTGTGTCGCAGTTGACGCGGTGTGACCTTGTATGACTCCAGAGCGAAGGAAATGATGCCTCGGTTGACCAGAGCTGTTTGTTTCTAATTCGTCTGCATTTACATACCCTCCATGTCTGCTTTCCATTAACATGTGAGACTTTAGGGGAGGGATCTTTTCACAAACAGTTACCAC